TCCTAGTAGCGATGCCAGGAGCGCCTAGTAGCGTCCTTGCTCCTAGTGCTTGGTACCCCGTGAACATCCTCGCTATATCCTTCCCGTCTCACACGTCGACACCTCGACGGGACTCGACAGGCCGAGACCGAGGCGCTCTTCGCACGCATCGCTTTGGCCTACGAGGTGGGTCTGGCGGGGTTCTGATCTTCGCCACGAACCATGGCACCCTCAAAGTGGATGGCTATATTGGGGACTATACTATGAAGCTGCTAGCGTGGAGCACGAACGCTTGCTCCAGTCGCTGGCAGCGGCCCTTCAGCGCGAAAATGCCCGGGCCGTCCTTCCACGTGTTGAGTGAGGTTTTTGTATTGCAGTGTGCAGTTTATTTTTTCCCGTTTTGGAATCCACTGTGTTTTGCGTCCGGGGGTCTTTGAAGTCCCCACTCCTGACGGATGCGCGGCGGTTTTTTGTTCTTGAGCTGGCGTGCCAGCCACGCATGCATCCTGTGCTGGTCCGTGTCGCTCCTGCTGTCAACGGCTCCTTTTTTCTGGCACTTTTGCCCTAAGGGCTGTGCCGGACACCCTTTCTACTCGGTGGCTAAGTCCCCTTCACTTACCCGTGTTCCTTTGGAGAAGTCTCCAACTGGTTGTTGGAACCGGCTATACTATAGATCCAGTACACCGTACAACGCGGCAATTGGATGCAATTGGGGGGTTCTACTGGTGGACCTACAATTGCAAGTGCGTGCATCCATCATGAAGGGATGTTCTACGAGGTTTTGGCAGTGGCGCAAGAACAAGCATCTCTAATCCGGATCTGGGACGAGTATGCTACCTCAAACTGACATAGCCCATGTCACTTGCATTTGAAAGTTCCTCCATCCTCGATCAGTTGGTTAGTTTCGAGAAAGGGTACTTGCGATGGTCCCAGTTGGTCAATGGACATCGATCTTTAGATCTCTCAAAGGTCCCTGTTGGGTGGAGTTCCCGCGAAGGGAGGGGAAGGCCTTTAACTCCAGCTGGATCCCCTTGTCCCCCAAACGTTTGAGTTGTACCCCAGAATCTTTGGAGCAGGTTTTAGTCCTTACATGCCCTTACAGTATTGTTTCACAATGTTTGGAACAGAAGATTCTTGGGCGAGGGATTGTGTTAGTTTCAATGGCTTAACGTGCGTTTTGTACAGTTAGTTGCTCCAAAACCAGTCCAATCTCATCTCCTTCTCGGAAACCGCCCAAAGCATTCACTATCCCTCATGCCGCATCCACTTGCCGCTGCTAGATGATTGTTTTAGATGGGTGTGGTGAAAACATGTCAAGACCTATCTATGAATACAGGTGCGTGTCAGTCAGGTCGAACCAAATGTAGCATACAGGTGCATGTTTTGCAGATCCCAATGCACCTAGTGTTTAACAGGAACCATTGTTAACTGACCCCGAGACATCAAGATCCTGTTAAGACCTAGGTCAGATCAGGTATCAGGTCCCTTTTTCCCAGGGATCCACTGATCCCCGAGACTCACCTCCAGTCATTGCATCCAAGGGGAAGGATCATTTGGGGGAAGGACTTACCTTCAATGGACGGCCGCTGCAACGAGGGACCTTTGAATCCCGGTCACCCGTTCTTTGGGGTTTTGCGAAGGTCTTCCCAGTGGCCCATGGGCCACGGGCTGCAGTCTGTCTTTTAAGCGGAATCAGTGAAATTGCCACGCCACGCAACAATAGACACCGCACTGTAGGTGCAAATCTGTGTGTTGTGTAATGCAGCAGTACATTGGATGCCAAAAATGCCAAAAATACATAAACATACTATATACAGTAACTATGTTCAATCTTCATTGATTCTCCGTGCAATCCAATTTCTGAATGTCCAGGACGTGCTTATTACTTACTATCGATTTTGTATCCAACGATGCACCTGGCTGTGCCAGGTATTGGGTGATGAACAGCGACGGAGACGTTGCTCGGTCGCTGTTTGGATCGGTCTGGTGCGTTTGGGAGGCATTTTGGGAGCCCACTAAAATACTGTAAATCATAAAAGAGATTGAGATAGGATTGTTAATATGGATATTTGGTAAACATAATTGCTAAATGGACATTCACCCACCAATAAACAGAAGTAACAAGTGAAACTGGCCCAGCTATGGCAAGCTGTATCAAATGTAACGCTGTGGATCACCTGGAGGCCAGGTGCACCATGTGCCGGTGTTGGTCTCCCTGGTCGCCTCCTTTGTTTATTATTTGGGATTATTTGGGGTGGTCAAGTAAGTGATGCTTGACCCACAGCTATGTAGCCATTTTTGGAACGATGGAGTCATTTGTGAGGGTCTATGATGTCCAAAATTCTTAGGGCACCAAAAACGCCTCACCAAGGCTTGCTCAGTTGGATCCCAGTTGAGCCTAAACTATCAGGGCGAGGCATTTAATAAAAGTTAAGCTTATGTTTGGATCTGGATCGTTTATTTCACTGGATAGTGATCCACTGGTAACAGTTTACTTTGCTGGTGACGGCAGTCCTGATCAACAGCCATCCAGTCAGATTCTCAGAAAGGCAGAATCCAGGAACTGAGCAGGAAAACTGACATCACTGGTCACCAACTGCTTTGAGCTGGTGTTTTACTTTGAGTTCTGTTGCTGATCTAGAAAGTCATAAAAATGAAAGTCCTAGAAGGTGTGTATCCAGAAGGTCAAAGCTCCAAGAAACTTGTTGTCTTTCTAGACTCTCTGAGGTTTCCTGATTTGTGGTCCCATTGGACCCTAGCAAAGTCATCGATATTTTGCAGATCTCAACTCGATGTCTTTCGAAGTTTTTCAGGCTACGACCTCTCGGGTGAGCTCCCGCACAACGATGCAGCGGCAGGAGGGTGTCTCCCACTTCGGGCAGGGTTCGGTTGGTGCGGGACGGTGTCAGTCTATGTACTTATGTCATGCACAACTCGGCCTTCACCGCTGGCTCTTCACGTGTGTGGTGAGCAGAGCTTTGGGACTAACTTTAACATAGGTTAATCTGGCCCCACATCCTTGAGTTCCAAAACAACATCTCTTCGCAAACATTTGCCAGACGAGATGATTGCCTTACTGTAAGATCTCTTTGGCCATGAACATGATTACAAGGCCCAGTGAGTGCATGGAATCAGGAAATTCTTGAACCATCCTTTTCCTTGCTACATCAGGGCTGCAACGACCTTATTTCCGAGGTACTTGGAGAGGACATGAGGTTTGTCAGATCTATCACTACCTTCAGAGCTTTTAGAACAATTGGAACATCCTGGAGCCCAGAGATGAGCACAAAAATAACCGCCTTTTCTGGTGATGAGGGACTTTCTTAGACCTGGCATTCATGCCTGCGTTAGTCCAGTGTTGGGGTCCCTGACCAATGGATTCCAAGCTTTGGCCGTGTCCAAGTCCCATCCCCGGCAGGACGATCCGCTCAAGAGACCTTCCTCGCAGCCTACATGTCCACGGCGCGCCGCACGGAGCGATCGGAGTTCGCGGCGACGGGGCCGGCGACGGTTGTGGGCGGTGGGCTGAGGATGGGAAGAGGATGGGAGGCGCTTTCCAGGCGGTGAGAAGGCGGTTTGTAATTGTTGTTGAGCCGAAGTGAGAACTGGGGTGATCCTTTGGAAGTGATTGCAAGGTCTTTGTGCTTCATTTGCCACACGTGCTGAGTCCAAAGGCCACCCCATCTTGCAAAATTCGACCCCCTGAATGGTTGTTGTGCTTCCTACACGGAGGTCAAAAGAAACCTCACTCTACGCAGTTACTGTATATGATGTTATATAATATATAGTAGTTATAGTTTTGTAGGACACATTTCTGTCTCGGTTTGACCGCTGACGGGATTCTGGTGTTTCACAGAGGGACCATGGCCATGGACCCAATTGAGCTCTTGCGGCGAACCATGCGAACCGACCTTGCTTGAGCGTTTCATACCATGGCCATCCACCAACTGTAGATCGACCACTTCGCTGGGGCCTGGATCGAAGGTATTTGGATTTGGAGCGGATAAATATGTTGCGTGATTGTTCTTTTTTTTTTTATCCGGATGTGTTTTATGTATAAAAGGAGAGAAGGAGAGGAAAAAGATAAAGAGGGAGAGGCGGGGAGAGACAAAGAGAAGAAAGGGAGAGGGTGAGGGAGGGGAGAAAAACAAAAGAATGTCAAAGGAGAGGGAGCCGAGAGGAGAGAGGAACTATCAGGGTTTCTTTGGCCTTGGCTTCGTTTTCACTTCTTTAGGGTTTCTTTGGGCTTGGCTGCTTGGCTGGCTTAGGGTTTTGCTTCTTTATGGTTCTTCGAGGTTGTTGGCTGAGGATCTCCTACTGGTACCATGATAAACAAAATTAATTGCTTCTCTACGAGTCAAAGTACACTAGAAACAAAGGACTCGTAAGTAAACAACAAGCAGGGCAAGCAGAAGCATAAAGCAAGCAAATAAAAAAAAATGCAAAAGCAGAATCAAAGCAACAACCAAAACAGTAGCAGAAGCAACGGCAGAAGCAAAAGCGAAAGCGCAAAACACTATATACTGGAAAAATATCCAACACATGTGTGGAAAATATCCCGCAAAAATAGTGTGTCTTTTTGAGCCAGACTGATTTAATCAATGTTGACTGCTTTTTTGTTTGAATGCCAACATACAAACATACACGGAAGTTTCTCCACAACACTCTGTTTTTTTCCACCAATTTGCATGCAAAGAACAAGATAGGCGTGCAACACTGTAAATCGCTGGGTTTCGGATGCTAGGACCGGGCCGCAGGAGTCGTGCATCCGGTTTGGCGAAGTGGAACCTTTACTTTCTGAAGCCCACTCAAATCAGAGAGTACCACAACCACAGGCTTCATCCAAAATTCCGTGGTCAAAGAAAGAGGGAAAGTATAGTTTCCCTGGCTTCCCTGCATTGTCAACGTTCTTTGTCCGCAAAATACGATCGCTATTTCCTTTAGGGATCCAACTACTCGTTGCATCCTTAAAATATGATTAAAGAAAATCATAGAACATCATCACACACAAACCCCCCGATCTTAGCAACCGGCCGATGTGCCAATGGCCGCGCTGTCCTTTTTTGTCGTGCGCCCTTGGTCGAGGCTCCAAAGACAGCTCGTGCTGTAACCCAGGCTCGGTGGATTGTTTTCTGCTTGTGCATACATTTTCCTAGAACCCCGATATGACCTCCTTCTTGATAGACAATACCATATGTTGGAGAGTTCTATCAATATAATATATATATATATACACACATTCATGCACCAAAGAGTTCAATCACGGCATGGATACCGCGTGATGTTCTTTTGGAGCGCCTTGGAGCTCCTGACAAATACCATTTCTTGAGCTGAAGAACCTGGTCGAAACTCGGGGTGACAGGAGAGTTACCAGTTGCATGTGGATTTGGTAAACACAGAAGGTGATGTCTCAGTCACAGCCCCCTAAACCATGTTTGCCTAACTTGAACATGACTTTCAGCGGCCCGCTCACCTTTTCCTGCTTGAAACGTTGGGGTCAACGGGTCTTGCGCCTTTTACCAGGCGGACTACTCCTTGCACAGCCTGGACAACTACGAAGTCCTAGAGGCCGAACATGTCGTATCGTGTGGCATGCGCCGAGACGGAGACGGAGACAAAACAGGACAAAACAGAGGTGTTTTGTGTACACTCTTGATCAAGAATAGCCCCCACATGAAGAGGTTGTTAATCCAAATGGGATGGTTTATTACTCAAGAGTCTACATTCCAAGGTTTTTCTCCAGAAGGTATATTGGACCATATTTAAACCATTTTGAACCATCGTCACGCCGTGAAAAACGTGTCATTTGCCTGCTTCAGTCACCGACTTTTGCCTTCTCGTTCTTGGTCTTCGGTTTCTCGTTTTCTCGTGCTTTGCCGCAGGCTTTGACTCAAAAGCGGGGCGATCTTCCATCAGTGGTGGCCCTCTCTCGCGTCGCCTAGACTCCTCTCACAGCGCTCCTCGAAGGTCACAGCCTTGCAGTCAGTCGGTCTGGACAGACTCAACTCAAACAGCGTTGCTTTGCACATCCAACAGCTTTGAGTCTGGCAAATTCAATGTACAAACTCAAACATCCGAGAACGACACCATGCAAATCCACTGAAGTGAAGAGCCATACTGTCACACCATTCAAGCGCTGCACCACAAGTGTGGCATGCGGATACTGCACGACATATTACTAAAAATATGTAAAACATAAATGATATGCTTTTATATGATCGCCTACTTGGACTTCAACCCGGACTTAAGAATCAATAATGCGGTGGATAATCATTATCATCGGCCAGGAGGAAAGGAGGAACAATAAGAAACAACAGCAGCCACAGCAACCGCTATACATCAGAAAGAGTTCCAGGAGCTTTGTATTGCCCACAGGCATGACCTCGAGCGCTGATCGAGGCAGAGTTTTGGCACCTTTAACTAAGACTACGTGGCTACACGTCTTCACTTCTGGAGAAGGAGGAGTCCTCTCCTCATTTACCCCTTGGATCCCCTTGGATGGGCCAGCTTATGCCCTCGTGCTTATGCCCTCACGTCTTCTTCAACGATGCACAAGCTGGACACTGAGCTCAGACTGGGATGAGTGAGCTTAGGGTCGTCGGTCTCAGTTCCCGGGGCCGTGGAGACTGCAACTGGGCTTAGCATGAGAGGGGCATCATGGGGAGCCATGGTGAGCCATACCCGCCCATTAACTGGGTGGGTTGGTTGTGATGGTGGTGGTTGGGCGGTTGGTTTTGTTTGGTTTGGTTTTGTTTGGTTGGTTGGTTTGGTTGGTTGGTTGGTGCGGTTGGTTGGTGTGGTTGGTTGGTGCGGTTGGCTGGTGTGGTTGGTTGGTGCGGTTGGTGGGTTGGTGTGTTGGTTGGTTGGTTGGTTGGTTGGTTGGTTGGTTGGTTGGTTGGTT